TAGTCAAGGAAAGCTTTGTGGAGAAAATGGCTACTGAAATAACAGATAGCATATCAGCCTAGGTTCTTAACTGCAAGCAAGAGAAACAAAATCTGATTGATTTTAAGCGGAAAATAATTTATTAAAAAGATACTGGGATATAATGTATACCCTTTGGTCCCACAGTTTCATTCCTAGATATACAGCCAACGGACACGCATACATGTGTTTACCAACATGTGCAAGAATGTTTGCAGCCACGTTTGTAATAGAATCAAACTGGAAACTATATAAATGCCCATTAAAGGTAGCATAGATAAATCGTTTTTTTGTTTTGTTTTGTTTGTTTTTGAGATGGAGTTTCGCTCTTGTCGCCCAGGCTGGAGTGCAATGGCGCGATCTCAGCTCACTGCAACCTCTCCCTCCCAGGTTCAAGCGATTCTCCAGTCTCAGCCTCCTGAGTAATTGAGATGACAGGCATGTGCCACCACACCTAGCTAATTTTTATATTTTCAGTAGAGCCAAACCCATGCCATTTGATGGCCAGGCTGGTCTCAAACTCCTGATCTCAAATGATCTGCCTGCCTCGGCCTCCTAAAGTAATGGGATTACAGGCATGAGCCACAGCGCCTGGTCTGTATTCACCTGATCATAGAAAGTTATACAGTAGTGACCACAGACTGCAATTATGCACAACATGGGTGAATCTCACAAAACCTAACATTGAGTGAAAGAAACCAGTCACAAAAGATAGCATCGTGAATGATTTTATTTATATTAAGATGAAAAATGGATACAATTAATCTGTGTGTTAGAAATCAGGATAATGGTTACCCTTATGAGGGAAATAGTAACTGGAAGGGGAAATAAGGAGGGCTTTGCAAGTATAGTTGACCCTTGAACAATACAAGTTTGAACTGTGTGGATCTACTTATACATGGGTTTTATTTCACCTCTCCCACCCTTGAGACAACAAGACCAAACCTGCCTCTTCATCCTCCTCCTTATGATTTTCTTTTCTTTCTTTTTTTTTTGAGATAGAGTCTCTGTCTGTTGCCCAGGCTGGAGTGCAGTGGTGTGATCTCAGCTCACTGCAACCTCCACCTCCTGAGTTCAAGGGATTCTCCTGCCTCAGCCTCCTGAGTAGCTGGGATTACAGGCACCCACCACCACACCCAGCTAATTTTTATATTTTTAGTGGAGATGAGGGTTTCATTCTGTTGGCCAGGCTGGTCTTGAGTTCCTGACCTCAAGTGATCTGCTGCCTCAGCCTCCCAAAATGCTGGGTGTGAGCCACCACGCCTGGCCCTCCTTATGATTTTCTTAACAGTTTCTTTTCTCTAGCTTTATTGTCAGAACACAGTATGTAATGTGTGTGTGTATATATATATATATTACAAAATATGTGTTAATCGACTGTTAATGTTGTTGGTAATGCTTCTGGTCAACAGTAGGATACTAGTAGTTAAGTTTCAGGGGAGTCAAAAATGCTCTGCAGATTTTCAGCTGTGTAGGGTCAGCACCTGTCCTGGTAATGTTCTGTTTCTTGATACAAGTGGGTTCGGTTTGTGAAAATTATTTGAGCTGTAGACTTAATGTTATATGCACTTTTCCCTTATATCTGTTATTGCTGTGCCTGTTTCTATACATATGTTACATATCAAAATATTTATTAAATGCGGTATATTAGGTAACTCAGAATTTCTGGTGCTCCTGGCTGTATATATCAAATCCCGATTCAGGATTCAACACCCCAGATCATGCCGCCGAACTGCACTACCACCGCCAAGTGTGAAATTGCAGTTTGCTCTGCCTCCCTGGCCTGGGAGCTTGATCCTGCTGCTGCTGCTCCACACCTGCCTCCCACCCTGTTCCCTTCCTGGCTCCATTTGCAGCCCTCCTTTCAAAGCGTGGGGTGGATACCTTTGTTAGGCAGAGCCTAGCACAAGTGGTCCTCCTTACTGCAAAGGAGTCTGGGAAAGCAAGTATCCAGTGTTTTCATCTTTTATAGTGGGTGGTGATTTCTGCCAGAAAGGGGACAAGGAGTGTTTAGGTTTTGGGCAATCAAACAGAGAGGAAAATTCATCTTTGGGGTGAGCATTTAGGCCAATAGAAGAAAGTACATTTCAAGTGTTAGGAACAATAGAAGCCCAGGGTAGAGGCTGAATAGAATATGGCATTTGAGCCCAGTGGAAACAAGTTTAACTGGATTAAAGGATGTGCTCTGGGAAAATAGTTGGAGAAAAGTTGAGGGAATAGGATAGGGCAAGATTAAAGATTACTTTGAAAGTCAGGCAGAGGAATTTAAATTTCATTTGGGAATTTTGGAGCTAATAAAAGTTTTTGAACAAGATCGTGTCCTAAAAGGAAATGGTACTTAAGGATTATTAATCTGGCAGCACTTTTAGGGGCATCTAGGAGTTGTCTGTCAGAATTCAGGAGTGGGGTGTAGAGATAAAGGCAAAGATTGGATTTAAGAGAAGATTTGGAGGAAAAAAATCAATAGGACTTCTTTAAGAGAAAGAAGTAGAGGCTGTTTCTGAAGCCTAGCTTGAGTGACTGGTCCCACTCTTCATTTAGAGCCAGCGAGGCTGAGGAGGGACCCAGTTTGGAGGCAGTAGAAGAATGAATTTTAGTTTGGGAATTGCTGAGTTTGAGTTAAGAGATATTGAGTAGAAGCAGTCCCTGTGCACTTAGAGTTGGGGACCAAGAAGTGGAAAGAATTGCACTCCCAGGCAGAAAGGCCGTGAAGGGAATGGAAAAGAATATGCCAGAACCCTCAGGGTATTTCTTATCTCTTGTTTATGGGCCACCAGGTGTACTATCTTGATTTGGGTTTTAAATGATAAGTTTGAACGCCAACCTGTACCTTCTGCTTCACAAAACGTCAGTTCTCACACCCCAGGACACATTGATACTATTACTATTTTCCGTGGTCTTCTTCCTGTTATTCTAATATCTTTGGAAAGAAAATGATTAATGTATGTGAGGCTTTTCTTGGTTATTTTCACTAGTTTTGAATGCTTTGAATACAAAGAGAATAGTATACTAAAGCTAGAGACCTTAAACAAGACCGAGAAAGACTGCATGGAAAAGCAAACCTCCAGTTCATTAAAATTGTAAGTTGGAGTTCTTGGCTCCACGGCAGGGTAGCCTTGGATCAGTAAGTATGACAGCTCCCTTCCATATTGTACTTAGAAAAGAATGATCATAAAACCTACTTAGGCCTCACAAGGTCTTTTTGAGTCTTAGCCAATGCATTTAGTCACTGTCAGTAACCACAAGCTTTAGTATAATATTCTGGCTTTCAAAGCAGCAAGGACTCCAGAGCATGACGATAGGCTCTTGTATGCAACTTAAAAGCTGTTGCTGAGGCATGCCTTCTTGATAGTCCTCTAAAATTAATTTAATGTATTTTAATAGCAAACTTACAGGAACACCATAGAAGACAGACAACATTAAAAACATGTACTTGCATGTAGAGTAACTCAGAAAAGTAGAGTGAATAGATGGAATCTACTTTATGATAAAAATGCTACAAACACCATTTAATTGCCATCAATAAGAAACTTACTTGTTTTAAAAAAAAAATCCAAATGCTGATATTGTCCAGAAAAATTTAATAGATTTATACTTATTATAAAGTTGAACTGTTGAAACTTCTTCACTGAAACATTTTAACATGCATTAATGCTTTACGTCTCTACATTTATATTAAAAATTCACACACAAATAAAAATGGAAAAACTGCTCATACCTGACTTCTGTCTCCTAGTTTTCCACTCACAATCATATACTTAGGTACCTTTTGACCCCATGGGAAAAAAAAATATCTAATGTTCAGAA